GGATCAGGCAGGTAAGATCCAAGGAAAGGAAGAGCTAGGCTTCTCACTTCCTCAGGGTCCAGGCTCAAGGGAAAGAAGGCACCATTGTAGCTGAAGCTTACTCCTCTCCCACTTTCTCCCTCCCAGATTGGTTCATGGCTGTAGTGCTTGGAACAATGAGTCAATTCCAGCTTTGGTTGCTGCTCACGTAATGCCCTCTGACACGTCTCTCTTCATTTTAATTTACAAAGAAAATATCACATTGTATACCCATGGCATTTTATTCTGCCACTGAGAAGCTTTCTTCCTAAGGCTTTGCAGGTTTCTAATTGATAAATTTCTTTAGCTATGGTTACATTGCAAGTGATGACATTATAAATTAGTCATTTTATGACAACATGTTCTTACTCGATGAGGGGCAGAACTTTCTATAATGTTTTTCTTCTCTAGGTCTTCAAATATTGGAAGTTGCATTAAGTGGTCCTATAACCCAAGGCCAAGGTCACTTAGAGGTGTGATAGAGAATACTTCATTCATTCACCATTGTTCATCCACTCACTCAGCAAACACGAATGAGCATCTCTGTACCTGCAGACTAAAGTTAATGGCTAACCCTAACTGATCATTTATTATTATGTGCTATAAAATATATAGATGTTTATAATTTTATTTAATCCTAAGAAAAGCCCCATGAGGTTCTGTTATGATGTGAACGTGTAGACAAAGAAGCAGAATTTAAGCAACTTGACCAAGAACCTGTAGGTAATACGTAGCACACATTGGATATGAATCCAGTTGGGGTGGATCTGGGGTCAAATTGCCTGGATTACATATTTACACCTTAAATACTATGGTAGTCCTGTTCACAAGGAGCTTATAGAAAATGCAAGACTGATGATTCTGTGATTTCAAATATCTACTTAAGACCAACCAAACTTCCAGAATCTAGTAATATATGTGGCTATCACAGCCAAGCCTTAACTCAAAACTCAGTTAAAGTTGTATTTGCATAATGTCACCACTGGAAAGCCAAGGTCATTAGTTTGTGTGTGTGTGTGTTTGTGGAGGGGTTGAAACATTTTTCTCTGACATCAGTAGAGTGGCAGAACATGGGCACTGTTTCTGTTATATACCACTCTCCCTCAGTTTCACACTTATTAACACATTCTATGATTTCTTTCATTGAATAGATTTTATGGTTCTCATTATCTTAGTGGAAAAATTGTATGTCCCAAAGCCATGATGAGAAAGAAGGAAGTAATAGGCAGGTATAGTTTTAAAGTATCCTAGAACCTGGCTGTGAATGTTCTCATTTATTATCAGTATCTCTTTATTTTCTTCATATTCTACCGTCAGTTTTCCTCTTCTACCAACATTATTCTCCTGGGTCTGTAGGGAGATACTCATTCCAATAGTCTGGTTGCCATGCTACCAAGGTGAGAGGGAAGGGAATGAAAGTATTAGCAATTCACCTAGACCTCAAAGGGAATGCCAGTGTGAAGATCTTTACAGCCCCAAGATACTGAGAGATACTGAGCCTGAATTATAAACAGAAATAACGAGGGCACAGAGACAGATTTAAGCATATTTCAAAAGTAGATTCATCTCAACTGCAGTTAACTATGAATATGAATGATTTTCCATCTAGAGAAAGACATTCTTCCTCCTGGATAAAAAAGGCTCTAGAATAGCCCCTCAGTGAAACAAGTAGGTATCGACAATATAAAAAGGTAAAACAGAATCAGCTCCTTTCCCTTTTAAGAAACAGTTTAACAGCTTTTTTTTTTTGGTATTATAATATCTATAATTTCTCCTGATTCAGGTCACTTTTCACAAAATCCTTAGAGCTCTTTCATTTATTCATTCATTCATTTTGTGATGTTCCTTTACTTAAAGGCGCCTAATGACATCTTATTGCCTATAGCATGAAGTTCAAAAGTATTTTGCATGGCCTTGTACAATCAGGCCCCATATACCTCTCCTCCCCATATAAATTACCTATTCCCTTTCTTCTCCTACCCACTTCTTACATCCTCTCCATCCTATACTCCAGCCACCCAGAATGTCTGAGCTCCTGGAGAGACAAGCTGTTTGAAACCCCTGTGATTTAGTATGTGGTGTTCTCCGCTCGGAATGATGCTTCTCTCTTACTGAAAACTTCCATGTCCACTGCAAGCCCCAGAGGGTCCTTTACTGGAAAGCTTTCTTTAGTTTCTCCAGAGAGAATGAATAGCTCCCTGCACAGAACAGCCATGATTCATTGCTCAGAGATCTGGTACAACACTTCGAACTTCCAAGCTTCTACACCTGTTCATATTCTCAGCTCTTGTCAGACTAAAATTGCTTCCAGGATACTGATTTTGCTTTAATTCAATCTGTTTTGTTAGGGTCTCCTATCGTGTAAAAGAATGGTTAATAAACAGAAAATACATAAATCTTACTTCCTCTTTTTTGATTTTAGAACCCCTTATGCAAGTAATAACTATGACAACAAGGAAAACAAAGCAAAAGTGACTTTTTTTTTTTAGTATAGACTGCTGTTCTTTCTTTTTTTTTTCCCCCTCATGAGTTTATTGGTACATTTTAGGGATACAGTACAGTTATATTCATTATTGGGATCTAGTACCTTTACATGACAGGTCTTGGTTCTCATTTTTTCCCCGTGTCCCTGCCTTCCCTTCACTCCCTCCTCCCCTGCCTGTTTACAAACACTTCATTTCCATTTTTTCATTTTCTTATATTTTTTTCTTTTCCTTTATTAGCTTTCCCTTACCCTTCCCACTTTCCCCACACCTTTAGTCCCTTTCTTCCTATTTTACATTGTAAATTATATCATTAGGATCTTATGTACTGTTATAGTTTATTCACACCAGAGAAACTATTCGGTATTTACACATGTGTGACTTATTTATTTCACTTAGGAGTATATCCTCAATATGTATCCATTTTCCTATGAATGAATCTAATTTATCATTCTTTATGGCTGAGTCATATTCCATTTTATAGAAAAACAACATGCTCTTTATCAAGTTTCCAACTGATGGGCAAATGGGCTGTTTCCAAGTTTTAGCTATTACAAAATGTGCTGCTATAAACATAGGTGTGCATATATCTCTGTGATATGATTCTTTAAATTCTTTTGGAAAGATACTCAGCAGAGGGATGGCTGGGTCAAATGGAACTTCTAGTCCCAGCGCTCTGAGGTATCTCTATATTGATTTCCATAGTGGTTGCACCAGTCTGCACTCCCACCAACAATGGAGAAGGGTTCCTTTCTCCCACAACCCCGTCAACATTTGTTATTGTTTGATTTCTTGGTTGCAGCCATTCTTTGTGGGGTGAGGTGTAATCTCAGTGTAGTTTTCATCTGCATCTCTCGAATGACCAGTGATGTGGAACATTTTTTCATATATTTACTTGCTGCTTTTACTTCTTTGTCTGAGAAATGTCTGTTCATTTCAGATGCCCATTTTTGAATTGGGTCTTTATATTTGGGGGAGCTGATTGTTTTAAGTTCTTTCTATATTCTAGATAATAGTCCTTCGTCTGACCATCCTCAGTGGAGGAAAGATAGCCTCTTTAGTAAATGGTGTTGGAAAAACCGGATCTCAACCTGCCAGAGACTAAAACTGGACCCTTATCTTTCACCATGCACTAAATTAAAATCCAAGTGGATCAAAGATCTAAATATTAAAACAGAAACACTAAACTTGCTGGAAGATAAGTCAGGCAGAACTCTTGAAGACATTGGCATAGGAAAAGATTTTATGAACAAATCCTCAGTAGCACAGGAACTAGCAGAAAGAATCAACAACTAGGATTTCATCTTCTTAAAAAACTTTATTTTGCAGAAGCACTGCAAAATAAACCATCAACAGAACTAAGAGACAACCTACAATATGGGAAAAAATTTTTAGCAGCTGCTCCTCAAGCAAAAGTGACTTTGAAAGAGAAGGTGAGAAATGCAATATTTTATGTGCAATCTTTTCTGTCTAAAATTTCCCATATAGCATGGTAATCACCCCTTATGCACAGTTTTGTTTTCTGCAATACATTATCCACAATCATTTATGATCTGAGTTTATCTTATTGTGTTTTTAAGCATTTGAGACAAGATCTTGCTAAGTTGCCCAGACTGGCTTTGTGCTCACAATGCTCCCGGCTCCCCTTCCTGAGCAACTAGATTTACACATATGTCACCATTCCCCGCATCCTGAAGACGTCAAGTGGAAAATTCCAGAAAGAAATAATTTATAATATTTGAATTACGTATTATTCTAAGTAGCACCATGAAATTTCATGCCATCCTTCTCTCTTGCACTTGGGATGTGCTCCATCCCTTTTCAGCATTTCCACCCTCCACATGCTCCCTGCCCATCCGACACTCTGTGGCTGTCCCAGCTATCAGACAGGCTGTCGGCATCGCAGTCGTTGTATTTGAGAGGCCTCTGTGTAGTAGCCTAGCGCTGCATCACAACGCTTCACTGTTTGTTTCACCTCATCTCATGTAGCCACTATAGCCTCTCACACAATCCTAAGTGAAGGATGAGTGTAGCACACAGGTATTCTGAGAGAGAACTATTCCCACAACTTTTATTAGTGTATGTTGTTGTAATTGTACTGTTTTACTAATAGTTATTGTTGATTTCTTACTGTATCTAATTTAAAAATTAAATTTTATCACAAATATAGATACATAGGAAATATAGTATATGTGTAGGATTTGGTACGCTTGACATTTTCAACACATCTATGGAGGTTTCGGGACATATCCTGCACAGATAAGAGAATACCGTAGTACTGTTTCAGGAAGTGATTTTTCTAGAGTTAGTTGAAGAAAAAGAGGATAGGAGAAACCAATAAATAATGCTGTTTTTCTCTAATCTGTCAGTTCTACTGTTATTGGTGCACAATTCCCATGTTTTTGCCTTCCTCCAAGCCCATACAGCAAAAATAAGTTTTATAAGAGAGTAGTGATCTGTGATTCTGATAAAAATGGATCCAAACTGGACCAAAATTACCTTTTAGCAGTTGGCAGTTGTATGTGCTCAGGTTCCCGGCTGACCGCAATTGCAACCAATTTCCGTTTGGGTGGTAGCTTGTGTTTACAACTTCAAACAACTCATAGGGAGGGATCAGGACTTCCTTCTGGAGGGAGAAGTCTTGCACAGGGGCACCCAGGCAGCTAAATATGGTAAATAGCGTTTGTTCCCCCAACTTCTGTGCCTCTTCTCTTAGGAGGGAGGTGGAGATGAACTGGCCAAATCGGACAGTGTCACCTACGTTGGCTACAAAGTGGGCATCCTTCGCGGCATGGTGTACCTCATGGCACAGAGTGCGACTCTTAGTGCTGAGCTCCGTCCTCAGCAGCTGGATCGCTGAGGTCAGGTAGTAGTGTAGATATTTGAAATGGAATGAACTCTTGTACTTCTGCGGAGGCCTGGCAGCACTGGCCATGGCCCTGGCTAAGTCAGAGCGCACCTGGTTACTTGATGTGTAAACCAAGAGAGCCACAGCATGGGTGACTGTCATGTTCGCGGGGAGAGCTTTTTCTCGGCCCAGCCAGGATAAGTGGGCTTTTTGCCAGGCCCCGAAGTAATGTTTATGGGCATCTATTTCCTCTGTGAAATAATCTCCTTGACTTAGCTCCTCCATGACCTGTTTGCTACAGCATTGGTACTGATCATCAAAGGAGTTTGGGGCCAAATCAAAGTCGACTTTAATCGCAACCTATAAGTAAGAAAAGAAAAAGCTTGATTTGAATTATTCAAATCAAATGACAAATGTGGTAGCAGATTTTCTGCTTTCTATAGAACCGGGTCTTTCTCTTAGAACCAATATTTGTTGACATTTTACTCAAAACCATTTCTACATCAGTGACCTGTGCCTGAATTTAGTTTCATGTATAACTGAAAGCTGAAAAAACTCATCTTCCCAGGGAGGAAATAAACTTTTTTGCATCATTAGTGTTTTTGTATGCTGTCTAGTAGAAAGAAAAAATTAATAACCTTATAGTTTAATTATACTTTCTATTTCTCCTGCTACCCCTTTGTACTCTCTCAGGGATGTCATTGTGAGTGTCTCTTTTCTCAATGACGAAAATGTATGTTAAATCTTTGAACTCAATTGGGTAAAAGCATTGAAGTGATGGGTAATATATGGTTCTCCAAGGGGGACTCCATTAAATAACAATATTCATGTCTACCCTGATTCTGAAAAAAAATAAAATGAAGGTTGGAACATCTCTCTTCTTTGCTCTTTAGGTCTGCTGGTAATTAGCATGATAAGAACACATTGCAAAGTGAGGCTGGCATGCTCACTCAGTTGCAAGCAGTTGTGGACCCCAGAGAAGGTTCTTACCACGGAAGACCAGAAAATTCATTCCCTTTGCCATGGACTGACTCCCAGGAGGAAAGGCAGGGACCAACTCAGCATACTCAAGAATTTTTCCCATTGTTACCAATGAAGTAATCTGTCCATGTCTAGGGGAGGAGGGCAAAGGAAAGTTTGGACAGTGATCAGGAATGTGCCTAGGAAAGTCCCTCTTCTGGAGAAAAGATAAGCTTTTTTTTTTTTTTTTTTTTTTTTTTTTTAAAGGGAAGCCATTGAATATGACTGTTTGGCATCTAGTCTGTGTGAAATTGAAGATAGAGGTTTACTGGGTGTCATCAGTTCATTATTTAACTATTTGAAAATCGAAATAGGGGTTTCTTGGTAAAAACAATGCCTTTCTAAGAAACGGTGTTCATTAAAAGGCAAGATTTCTCTCCAATGTGAAAGATATTGGGACTGGAACTTAAAAACATTCATTTGGTACTTTTGCTACGTGATTTATAGTGACACGTCATCTGGTTTTGTGCTAACCACAGTTTAAAAGTAGGTCTCAGAATCTATGTAAGCCAAACCAAACCAAACCAAAAATCTGATTTTGTCAAATTTATAAGGATCTTCAAAACTTTGTTAAAATATTCCTAGCTCTCAAATATGTACTGTTATCTCTTAACGTTAGATTATTTTCAATATATAGACTTTTAAATTAAAATGCTTATAAATGAAGTTGGTCCATCTAATACAGATTAAAGTCAAATAGACTTAGTTTATTTTACATTATGTGTCTTGTAGAATCAGTATTTATAGTTATTATGAAGAATCAAGAAAGTGGGCTGGGGATTTAGCTCAGTGGTGCTGCTGCCTGCCTCAAAAGCACAAGGACCTGAGTTCATTCCCGGGTACCAAACAAACAAACAGACAAACAAAAAATCAAGGAAGTAATTCTATGCTATTATTTTCCATAAATTGATAAATTATAAAGAATTTTAGAGTTTTAGTGGTTGTCTGATAAGTCACTAACATTATTTGCCAAAATGTTTGAATTGAATTGGATCCTTAATGGCCTAGGGTTTGGGTCAGTGATGCTGAACCTTTTAGAGACCGAGTGTCCAAACTGTGACCCCCAAACCCACTCATTTTATCGCCAAGTGCCAACACCACACTTAAACCGGAAGACTGCAGTTTTAGTTTAGAACAAAACAACTCGTAGATTACCATTTTTGTCTTAAAAGAAGAACAAATAGCGTGCACACCATAGGTTCACCACCACCGGTTTGGGCCATTTGGAAGTTGTCACCAGGGGAACATCCTAGTAAATCAAGGGTCAGGGCTTCTCCATTGCCCCCTACCTCAGCGCGCCCCGAGGGTGTCTGCAGGCCACAGAGCAGCAGCAGGAGCGCCAGCTGCCCTCCTCGGAGCCTCATTCTCATCCCTGGACCCGCAGCAGCTGGGAGAAGAAGACTCTTGCCTCCGTAGATCCATGGATAACCTTTGTTGGTGTTAAAAGTCCTCTTCTTCCCTTGAAGCTTCATCCTGAAAGGAGCCCTCAGACTTCTCCTTCGGGGTTTTCTCTGAGTGGGTCTCAGTGCGAACCTTCTTCGTGCCTGTCTGTGCTGAGACTTCTGTTGACTGACGATCGGCGACTAAGAGCATTCCAAAAGGCAGAAATCAGCTCTGGGTTTCATCAAGTAGAAATTTCTCGGAGATAGCCAATGCATGCACCCGATAAGAGTTTACACAGTGAACCAAGTTAGCTTCCAATTAGAAAAAAAAAAATCCTTAATCTGTTCTGTAGAGAAGGTAATGCCAAAGGCATGTTCAGGGTCAGGCTCTGCAGTTCAGCTCTGATGTTTCCAGAAAGTCAGGAAGAGGCATGCTCTCTACCGTGTTTGGGGCCAAGTGACATTATCTGCAGCCCCAGGCTTGCATCATGAGTTATAAGACTGGCTCCTGCAGGGCGGCTGGGTGGTGCCATCCCAAGGTGGGCCTGCCTCAACTCGTCTGGTGCTGCTGATAGCGTCTGCTTGGAATGGGCTGCTACAAAACAACAGGACTTTTGGTGCTATAGGCAAAAAGAAATCTCTTTTCGCTGCTTTTCCCTGGCCTATTTGCCACTCTCCACTTCAGGGACTGTAGCTGCTTGGTTCAAAGTGCTCCTCATTTTCTCTTCTGAAAACATCAGACCCTGTATCTACTCTATTTCTGCCTGCAGTCAATCCTAATGATTGCCAGAAAACTGCCTACTTAGAGAGGGCATAAATCCAAATTAGGATTCAGTGTACAAAGTTATCCTTACATCTAGCACAAGTGTTCTATTACACACTCTCTTTCAGGAACCTCCCTTTCTAGTATAAATAGTCTTCCTCTATTTACAATCCTTGGGATAATAGGATTTTATTTTGCAAATATTTCCCATTTATAATTCCCAATTCATTATCTAACTGTTAAGGGAAACTAAATGCTGTTCTTGAAGATTCTGTTACTGATTTTATTACAATACCCTGTATACTTTTTTAGGTTAAATTTTCTAAGGATTGCAATAGTTTTGTCTCATTAGTAAAAGTTCAGGATATCTAAGAAAACATAAGGGATAAAACAAGATTACTTATAACCCATTGTTGGGGGAAAGCCATTATTTAGATTTAATTTTGGTTTTGCATACACATACATTTCAGAACCCAAACAATATAATATGTAGTTTTATACTGCTTTTTTCTCCTAACATTTTAATGTAAGGATGTTCCCATATTTTTCATACTTATTGAACGTAATTTTCCCTCCCTCCCTCCCTCCTTCCTTCCTTCCTTCCTTCCTTTTTGAGACAGGGTTTTGCTATGGAGTTCAGGCTGGCATCGAACTTGCAGCTGTCTTCCTGCCTCAGCCTCCTGAGGAACATAATTTTCTTGTGGTAGTATAGTAGAGAAACATGGACTGCACTCTCTCAGAAGTAATGATGGGAACATAACTCTTGAGAAAGCTATTTTGACTCAGTCCCTGGCCCTCCTACTTCCTTAACAACTGATTTTGGGTAAGCTATTTAACATCACTGTTCCTCAGTTTCTTCATTTTACACATCTCCCTAATCACATTTGAAGTGAGGTATTCCTCTGCCTTTTGGGGGGGTACTGGGGATTGAACTTGGGACCTTGTGCCTGCAAGGCAGATGTCGGCACCACTGAGCTAAATCCCTGGCCCTCTTCAGGTTCCTCATATGTTAAATGGTGACAGTGACTGTATTGCCAATGACAGTGCCTCACTGAAGTGCTTCTAATCTTTAGAACAGCAACTGAAACCCAGAGATTGTTTAATAAATGAAAACAATTTGTATTACTTCTGACCAAATTTATTTAATAACCATCTTATATTTAGAGTGTTTTCACCTTCATACTATAACACTTAACAATACATGAATATGTTTTGAACATAAATCTTTGTGTGTTTCTCACAATTTTTAAGGCACAATTCTAAAGATGTGATCATGGACCAATGGAATGCATACGTGTAGATTTAATAGCAACCAATAGCAATGCACTAGCCTTTTAAGACTAAAAATTATTAACATCTCTCACTATCAGCTGTTACTTTGGCAAATAAGGTATCATGGTCTGAATATCTGGCTTGTGGCTCTTGTTTTATTTATAATGCTGGGTGGATTAACTTAAAAATGAGTAATTTGTGTTGAGCCACAGTTTCCTTAACCTTATAGGGTTGGATAAATTAAATAAGGTAGCAATTTTCTTCTACTGTTTCAGGATCCTTTTTTATATTTTCCCAAATTTTTTTTTACTGTTTCAGGATCCCTATTTATATTTTCTCAATTTATGAGACAACCATGAAGAGACATTTTAACCTTCACTTTACAGATGTGGTTACTGAGGGCCTTGTGAAAGTAACCAGCTTCTCAGTAATCATACACACTTTTCTCTCCCTTAGATCCCACTGTCACCAAAACCTCTAAAGGAGTGTGCCATGTTATCACTGTCTGTACAGTTTAAACATTTCTTACCATGACCACTTCCAGGGTAAGGCCACTAGAAGGCAGCAGGAACATTTGCAACCTTTTAATGTCACTCCTTTGGAAAGAACAGGAGGGGAAGGAGCAGGGAAAGGGTTTATATTTGATGTGTATGCAGATGAAAAACATCATTTTTCTGACAATATTTATTATCGTTAAAAAGAGCATTTGAGGAATAAAAAACTCATAGAAAATCCATTACAGAAACTGGGCTTTTTAATAACTTCTTTAGGTAGCTGTTTAAGAAGTTTTGCTAATTTTTAGACCTATTTTCTGGGGATTCAACAATAATTAACCAGATAGGATCGCAGCTCCTGAGCTTAGGTATTGTAGATTAGTTTTCTTTCTTTTTTTTAAAAAAATTTTCTTTTTAATTGAGTTTATTGGTACATTCTAGGTATACAGTACAGCTACATTCATTACTGGGATCTTGCACCTTTAAATGACAGGCATGGTTCTCATTTTTTCCCCTTGTCCCTACCCTCCCTTCACCCCTCCTCCCCTCCCCATTTACAAACACTTTAATTCCATTTTTTCATTTTCTCATATTTTTTCTTTCCCCTTATTCCCCTTCCTCTATCCTTCCCACTTTCCCTACACCTTTAGCCCTTTTCTTCCTATTTCACATAGATTAGTTTTCTAAAGTCACCTTCTGAGGTTCTGAGCATGGGGTGAAGCAGTTATCAGAGGGTCTTACTGAGGAAGGAAATGTGTCTTTCTCCATTAGCCTGCAGGCTTGGCAGCGGCTTTTAGGAGCCCTTGTTGGGATCTTGTACTCCTTTGGGTCAGTGTCAACATTATAGGATGATTGAATTGCCTTGTTAGTCACTGAACGGCAATGATAGATGCCTTACAATCTGGTGATAAGGACAGTTTGGAATTATCTGCCTTTTAGTATATGCGCTGCTGAAATGAGCATTGAATTATCTGCATTTTAACTTGTCAGTCTTTTTTTTTTCCTCATTGAGTTTATTGGTACATTTTAGGGATACAATACAGTGACATTCATCATTGGGATCTTGTACCTTTACATGACAGGTCTTGGTTCTCATTTTTTCCCTTTGTCCCTGCCAATTTGTCAGTCTTTGTTTACTCCCAATAAGTTATGGAGTGAGCAAAGCTCCCTTAGTTATTTTATGTATTGTTATCACCATAGATCTCCCCCTCAACCTTGTTGACAGAACAACTTATGCTGCCTGCACCACACACAAAGCTTTGGACATTCAGTAAGTGTTTGTTGAGTGAATGAATGAATGAATGTTTCTAGATTTCAGTAACTGAACATTACTCATCACCTAAGGAAGTCCATTCATTCGGGGGCAGATAGGACAGAACTCCTCTTGTCCATAAGAGGTTCCAAGGCCCAAATTTATAGGCAGACATTTTTCCAAGGACCAGGACTGGGTCTGTCCATGGTTCTGGACATAATGGGCAGCAGAAGATCCAGTGTAACTTTAGGACCCTTTCATTGCTCCACTGGAGCAAGTGACGGAGAATACCTGACAAAGCAGTAACCATTTGTCACGATCTATTTTCTGAGGCTGTAACTGAACACTGAAACACTGAATAATTTATAAAGAATAGAGATTGATGTAGTTCATGGTTCTAGAAACTGGGAAGTCCCAGAGCATGTACAGGTGTCTACTAAGGACTTTCTTGCTACATCATAATGTGGCAGAGGGCATCCTGTGGTGAGACAAAGCTAGACTGCTGACTCTGGCCTCTTTTCTTTTCTTCTACAGCCACCAGTGCTGTCACAGGGGTCCCAGCCCTATCATCTCATTTCACCCCAGCTACCTTCCAAAGACCCTACCTTCAAATACCACTGGTACCACTAATATATAAGTACAGACATTAATTTTCTAAGGCTAATTTTTTGGAAGACGCATTCAAGCCCCAGCGCCATTTATTTGTGTAGTTTTACATTCCGGTTTTGCAATGAGCTGTGGGTCCAACTCTGGGGATTCAACAGTAATCAGCCAGGTAGGATCCCAGCTCCTGAGCTTAGATCTCAGCAATCTTGAAGGTCAGCTATCAGGGGTACAATATTTACGAAGAGATGCTGGTAAAAACTCCATTTTCTAAAACAAATGTGAAAAGAGAACACTAATCAGATTCATTAGCTAAAGAATGGGGATTAGAATTAAGCCATAGTCCTAAAACTGATGAAGATGAAAGCTTTGAAACTTGACATAGGCCTGGGAGCATTGAAAGTTACATATAATTCTAGGAAGGGGCTGTGATCCCAGATAAATCAGAGACCATGTTCCAGAATGGAGCAAACAGCAAGTGAGGACCCAACATCCAACACTGGATCCCTCTGAGGCTCTCATGTGAGACCGCATAAGAGGCAGTCTGGACAAAGGGCATGAGTGAGGCTCCTGAAGATGGAATGAATTAGTGTGCCCAGCCAGGGTGAAGCAGGATGGCCAAAACATGGGTGACAGGAGAGCAGTATTATCATATGAACACCCCTCCATCTCACACCAGTGAGGTAAGCTAAATCTCTAGGTTCTGGTTTTTAAAAAGTGTGTGTGTGCGTGCGTGTGTGTGTGTGTGTGTGTGTGTGTGTGTGTTATGCATATGATGGTTATTGTGGTCAGGATTTGCAAGGGCATAGATTTAATACAGGACGCATAATTTAATGGATTCATTTATAATATTCACCCAAAAAGCCAAATGCAGAGGAGTGCAAGAGATCTGTCCATACACTAGAGACCCAAAGAATCCAATAGAAGGTCTGGATCCCATGGCAATGTCCACACAAGTCCAGCTGAAAGCCTAAAGCCCAAGGCAACATCCTCCAGCCAGAGGCCCAGAGCCCACAGCAATGTCTCATGCAAGTCTGTATTGAGGACCTGCACCA